AGCTAACCTAACTTTTGATTTATAATTTGAGAAAAGTTTACCAACTAAAGGAAAGCTTATAGAAAATTAAAACTCCAAATTCCCGATTCAAGTATATTCTTTGTAGACATACCAAGCTTAATAAAGCTTCTCCTCCTGTTTTAAAAATATTTTCGCATTCTCAGTAGTTTAATGAGAAGAAGACCTAAGTATCTGTAACTATATTGAATTCTATAAAAGGTAAATTCATTTTATTGACAGCTTTAATTAAAATTAGATATAATTTTTTAAAATAAAAATAAACCATGTAAATTTAGTTACCTTTAAACTTTTTAAATTTTATTTTTATTATAAATAATTAAAAGTGTGATTCTTTAAAGAACTCATTGAAGTAAAATTGTATATCAAATATTTTATAGATATTTTTAAAACTACTACCTTCATTGTATAATCGAATAATATCCAACATTGACCAAAGTGTTTTTTGATCTAGTACTCCTAAAATTCTATAAATTAAATAATTATAAAGCAAATTTAGTGAGTCATCATGACCTGCATTATTATCTTAACAAAATGGGTCTGCCTGGGAAGACAGAATATTGTATGCTTGGAGGTGGATGAGAGCTCTTGTGACATTCTCTGTGACTGTTCGGCTTTAATTTGGATTAGGAGGAGACTGTTAGGTCGGTAGTTTTTAATCTCGTCCGAAATTAAGAACAGTTGACATATTGGCTTTAATTCAAAAGTCGTTGAAAGTTAGGATTCTCCAAAGAGCTAACATAAGACACTTTTTATTCAAATGAAAGAGTGTCTTATATTCAGTAAGCAACATAAAATATCAAATATCAAAAAATGTCTTATTGAAACTTATACACAATTCTAATGTCTATTTCTATGAAAAGTTAATCAAAATGGGAAATAGTTTTTAAAACTTGATATTCAGCGAGAACAATTTTTTGGATATTTGTTGGAATATAGTATCTTTACTATAAATAACATAAATCTTTTCTCATACCTTGGACTTATTCTATCGTTTGTCGGTAGTGTTAAATATATCTTTTTTTCTTCAAAATATTACTTAGTTTTGTTTTGCAATAGCGAATAATATAAAAAAACTAAAAAGAATAAAATATTCATTAATAATCAATTAGTCTTCTATCTGTTAAAAAGAAAGAACTACGTTTTAAAGTAAATACAATGAACCCAATGTTTTCAGAATATTTTTTTTCCTTTTTTTAAATCTAAAGCCTTTCGTGATCGATATTATTCATTTTAGCTATAATTAATACTGACAGTAGTGTTTCCTTTCTTCAAAAGTAGAGTCACCTTTGATATTCTAAATTAGTGAGATATTTTCGACTTTGACAATATTATTCATTTCAATTCAAATTCCGACTATATAATTCTTTTCTTCCTTCCTTCTATAGAGGGTTTCTTTTTGTCTTGTTAAATCAAAGAAATATTTTTGGCTTAGACTTCCTTTCCATTTCAATTATAATCAATCTTAATCATAATATTATTTTCTTTCTTTTTTTCTTGAATAGTGGGCTCACTTTTGATTTCTTAGACCAATGATATATTTCCGACTTTGACGATATTATTCACTTCAATTATAGTTCCAACTGTAGTTTCTTTTCTTCCTTCGTTCTATAGAGGATTCCCTTTTGTTTTACTAAATCAAAGGAATATATTTCACTCTGACTATATTATCCATTCCAATTATAATCTATATCAACGTTAATGTCTTCTCCTTTCTTCCTTTCTTCAATGGTGGATTCGCATTTCATTTTCTAGAACAATGAGACATTTTTTAGATTATAATCATATTATTTATTTCAAATTTAATTTTGATTATACAGTTTTTTCCCTCCTTCCTTAGAGGGTTCTCTTTTATCTTCAATATCAAAGAAATATTTTTGACTCTGTCTATATTATTCATTGTAATTACAATTAATATCGACGGTATGTCTTCTCTTTCTTACTTTCTTCGATAATGGGCTTTCTTTTTAGATCAATGAGATATTTTCCATTCTGACTATTTTATTTATTCTAGGTTTTAAAACTGTGCTATATTTTTTATGTCAATTAGGATTTGTTCCAAAAATACTTTATGATAGATCTACAATACTGCAACGTAATCATTGTTTCAATCATTTATTATGCCTTATAATGGACTTGTCAATATAAATCTGGCTAGCTTATCGGCTTGCTCATCAACTTGTTAATTTCCCAAAACTTCTCTGGGGTCCGGAATCCAGTAAGACTTGACTAATTCCGAGTTGCAACTAACTGTAAAAGTTCACAACATTCAAGAACCTGCTTTGAATTGAAAGACTAAGAAGACAGAGCTTTAGAAGTAGCCTGGCTGTCAGAGTAAATAACAATTTTCGAACCAAACAGTTTTTTTGCTGATATTAGAACTTACGCATAAAATTGGTTGCATAAATTTCAGCTTACAGGATACTCGGCCATATGCCCATTGCCTCCGAAATGCTGGTGTTGGATCCATATACACTAGCACCAGTGTCTCCATCCATTTTTGATCCATCTGTGTACCAAACCAAACTTTTTTGTTTAATCTATGGGCCTCTGTTGTACCACGTGAAGCATGATGGTAGGTGAACCTCAAAGCCATGGAGTTTTGTTATATAGTCTCCATTGCACTGAGATATTTTGTGTGCTCTAAATGTTTTTAAAGTTGTTCCATGAACATAGTTAAGTTGTAAACACAGTACTTAGCGATGTGACTGTTTTTCTTACATTGATTATAAATGTCATATTATGGCCCCTTATATTTATAGGACTTGGCAGTGCATATAGCTATATTGTAGTACTACTTTCTACAAAAAAGCGTGGTCTTATTAGGCAATCTAATATTTCAGTTAGTATAGAAAGTCATTTATTCGACTCGTCTGTGTTCATTAATTGATAATAAAGCATATCTGTAAAGGTTTTAATATCATAATAGGTCTAATTCCTTAAATCAAGTGTGTTATAGTAGGTTAGTAGGGTATATTAGACCTAGGAATTTGCTTTTAGTTGTATATGATACAAAATAAAATATAAGAATGTATTTCCTTAACAATTCTAATATCTAATATCTATTCTTTAAAACTGTTTTTTCCAAAATCTGAAAAATTACGAATATTTCTTTTCCGTTTCATTAAAAACAATCTTAGCCTCTAGTCACACTGTGCGTATTCATCGTAAAGCCAATAAAATTAAATATAAAAAATTAAACAAATTTAACCGAAATATTGTACATACAAAACTATATTGTTTTTAATCCTAGTTCTTTAGAATTTCAAATGTAAAAATTTCCTAATTTACTTAAGACGTAACCTTTACTTAAAGTTAATTTTACTTAATATGTGTAGTTCCAATAAATATCATCAATCATCAAAACATTTGAAAGCGCAAATAGCAAACAAAATTTAATATTACTAATTGGACAGAAAAATATTTAAAAAAAAAAATAAATAAAATATAAAACAATATAAAAACAAAATATTGACTATTGGAACCCTAGAAGACTATCTGCGCTAAATTTATTTAGCATAGCTCACTTGACATTGTTTTCAGAGCACATTTTAATTGAGATGCATTTGCACCATTTTTCATTTATGAGAAGTTTTTACATATTTAATATAATTATTTATAAAAATAAATAATGTAAATTTTATAACAATTTTTTTTATTAGTAATGCTATGGTCTCATCTATACTTTTATATATACCTAAAATAGTTGTTTACATTATTTAAATAAATAGTTTTAAGCACAATTATAATTTAGTTTCAATGTAAAAAGAAGTTTAAACTTTCCTTATACACTTATACATAGAAAAAAATATATAAATTTTATATAATGAAAATTAGTTGAATAAAATTAGGCCAGTAATTAGTGTTCAAAGGAATAACGATGTCCTATATTTAAATAATATTTCAATATATTTTTATTTATAGATCATTTTGTTTAAAATTAAATAACAAAATTCTTAAATTTTTGGTTTTTTTTTTATTTATCAATTAAAAATTAATTGAGCATGTAAAAACTTACATTCAAAAGTTTAGGCATGTAAATTGCAAATTTAGTTTTAATTTTTAATTTTTAATTTAGTTTTTTACAAAAAATTATTTAATATTAAAATTTCACTTTGTTTGTCTAATTCACTTTGTAAAATTTTTTTTAAACGTAAACTTTAAAATCTTTCTTAACGTTATTAGTCATTTTTGGCATGCAATTATAATATAAACATACATAATAGAAATAATAAATAAAATAAAAATTTTAAATTAAAATTAAATACAATTAAAGTCCAAGTAAGAAATAGTTGAACTTAAATAGAAATAAATCACTTAGAAATAAAATATATAATATTTTGCTGCTAAAAAGTGACATTTACTTACTACTTTGTCGATTATGCTAGAAAACTAATTTGTAAATTTTTTGTAATATAACTTTTTTAAACTATTATATATATAAAAAAAATCGCATAACATTTTTCTAATTATTTTTTTTTTTTTGTCAAACAAAATATAATAAACATATAACATATCCTTATACAAATTTTAATTAAAGCAAATATCAATTTCTCTGAATGCTCTTTAACAACATTTTTATTTTATTTTCTTTGATGCCATTTTGTATGAAACTTACTCGTTACTCGTTGCTACTTCACCAAAATATATCGAATTTCACTCACATATACAACAACGCAAAATTATATTTTATGTATAAAAAATATTTGAAAAAAATATACAAAAATAAAATGCATTGAAATTACAACAAACTGGCAACGCTAACAACTTCATGGAATACAATTTGCACCAAATCATAAAAAACACAAATCTTTATTAAATGTATGTGATCGTTTCTGCAATAATATTCTATAACTAAATCACAACTAATAAATATTAATAAATAAATCAATAAAAAAAAATATAATAAAAAAATATTTTTGGAATATAACAAAAAAAAAATAAATAAATAAATAACTTTAAACATAACCTATAAAAAATAGAAACAAACATTCTTCAACTGCCTGCTTGATATGGCCGCCAAAGGAGGATCACGGCAAGGCTCTATTAGTTATGAGCCAAATGGTGATGGTGGTGCCAACTCACAAACGCATTTATTAACAAACTCAAATCATCATCAGAACGGTGATGCCGAACATAATAGTTTGGCAGCACTGGCACGCCGGAGTACGATCAGAAAACGTTCAGTTAGGTAAATTAAAACTGTAATATACGTCATTTTTAATACAAATACAGTACTAAATTCTTTTTATTTCAATTCATGTATTTTATATCATCATAGAACGCAAAGTGGGTCTTTTCATCAAATAATAAAATCATTTTCACAATACACAAATCATTTCATATACATAAACAAATGAAACTTTAATATTTTATTGGAGACTAAAAATATTGTACTCAAATGCAGATAATGTAGATTTGTTATTAATCGAAATTTTAGATTTTGAGGTCTAAACTATAAATAAGAAATCATATATTTAGGCAGAGATAAATAAAATTTTCGAAAATGTGGAACCCAATATTTATTAGATGACGTCACCTAAGGTGTGATCCAAAAGTAACGGGAAGTTTTAATGTTTCAAAAAGTATTCATTTTATTTTCAATAACTATACACTTCAAAACCCTAAATACTTTAAAACCCTAAATACCGTAAATACTTTAAAACCCTAAATACTTTACTTAAACTTATCCCAATCGATTTGGCACCTTACGACTTTATAGAAAAATTTTAACCACACCTAAGAACTCTCTAGCATTTTAAAGAAAGCTCTAGTTATTCCATAAGAGGCAGACTATCTTGAGTCAAAAAAAAATTGATAAGTCTAATACGACTTCTTCGGGTCAATAAATATTAATACAGACGACTCTGAACTGTAAAATGATGTAGTGATTAGTTTTACTAAGTAATAAATATATTTAGGATATCATACAAAATACCTTACTATACCAGCATATTTAAGAGGAAGTGACGGCACTTAAAATTGCAACTATTCTAATAATGGACCTCTTGGAAACTTTTCTTTCCACAAAATAGAACAAATAAAGTGTAAAAATTACACTACTTGATCTAATTATTGGAAAATCATGTTTTTAAGAACCCTGAGAATAAATGATCTGATATATAAATAAATTAAATTGTGAGCAATCTGAAAACAACAAGAATGGGAACGCTTAAAATAAACGTTCTAAGTTAATGCAAAGAACCCATATGCATTCTATTAAAGCCTGTCGCATATTCGTCCTTATACCTAACCTAATCTATCTACCTGTAAAAAATTGCCAAGTTTGGAAAATAAGGTGCTTGCCGTATTACAATGGTGTTTTATATTTTAACAAACTGTGAGATAAGTAACAAATTTTTGTAACTGATTATGCAGTAATTCGTACCGTGTCCAAAAAATCTATAAAAATCACTAGAACCAACCAGAGGGTGGACAATGCTAATGTTAGAGATATGTTGAAGAAGGGGGCCCCCAGAAACTTGAACCTAGTTCTGAATTAATTGGCTTAGTGTTATATAAATTCAGAGTTTCTTATAATTGGATATATAATCCAGATTTCTTTTAATGTAATATTTTGAAAACCTTTTTTAATCTACGTAAGATTAAACAATAGTCGCAGTTGATCACTATTTCCAACAAAATGAATTTACTAGGACGATTATGAATATAAACTTAATCAAAAATTGAGTTTAAAAAGAGAATGCAATATATTAAATATTTACGGATGAAAGCCATTATCATATCATCTGACATCATATCACTGTCATTTAAGATCATTTCACACCAATTCATCTAAAATCATCTATAATAAATCTCAAAACAATTGTATATTCATTACATTTCAACATATATATATATATATATTATATATTTACACATGTATAGAAAACACTATATATATATATTATATCGTTTCACAGTCTTTTAAAAAATGAAAACAAAAAATTATTTGTATATTCACAAAACATTTTTTCTAATTTAAATAATTTCAGAAACAAAAAGGTGAATAAGTTTGAAATACTTCAAGTGGTAAAAATTCAAATTTCAACTTAACTTATTGTGTATTTACTCGTATATATATGAATATGTGTGATTCTAAATGTCAGTAATAATTTACCATAATTAATAATTGTTAATTTATTTTTCATATTTACATATCGTACTAATTAATAATTGTTAATAAAATGACAGTAAAAGATGTAAATTATTGTTATAATCGAGATTTTACTTTAAACAGTTCTAGTGTACAGCCATTATATTATCATTCAATTACTCGTAATATCTTTCAATGACGTCATACTTTACGTCATTAACAATTGTAGTTGAATTATATATTTTTTTAAAGCTTAGATTCAATGTTGTAATTTAAATGTAATATCATTTGCTTTTGAAATTTAAATAGGAATTTCAGAACGAGTTTAAGTTAAAAATATAATTTTTTTTATTAATATATATAGATACATTATTTTCGAGTAATTAAAGTAGGTCTAAAGATTTAACGAAAAATATTTTAGTGAAAAATTATAGATATAGTTATAGATATAGAATTTTCTATTTTTTATAAATAATACTATAACACAATGATGCACTTAATTTGGTTTTATATATACCATATATAAAACTGCTAAGATGATATATTTTATATTATTACTAAATATTCCATACGTTTACATATGGTATTTACAAGCAACGACTGTTAGCGTGGTTATAATCCATGGGGATGTAAAAGCAGATAATATGTGTACACGGGTTAGAATGTGGATGGGTAATGGTTGAAGGTAGCAAAATGTGAAATAAGGGATAGAAGATCTATTGTGGACGGGCGGGATTTAAATTGAAATCAACTCGGATGCAGACAGGGCAACCTGGTCACTTCAATAGTGTGGGTCCAAAGATCGATTGGACGAAGGTTTGTGTGTATTAGAATCGCGCTTTAAGCTTGCCAGTACAAGACAAAAATCTCAACTGATTATTATTTTATTCAATAGTTTTGTAATTGTTTTTTTAATAATCCATAATAAATATTGCATTAAGAGGATCGGTATTTGTATGTAGGCCTATGAACAATTTATATAAAACCCTATAAACAATTTTATAAAAATTTTTTAAAAATTGTTCATAGGCCTACATTTAAGCAATTTTAATGATTGCTCGAAGCTCTATTTTTGAGACAATCACCAAGCATTTTTTTTTTTCAAGATTTTTTAAAACATTTTTCAGACCAAAACAATTTGGGATTTGAACCTAAACCCTGTGGGTCGAAGTACATACGTATGATATTAAGACGATTATACAAATAACTTCATTCGTATACAAACCTGAAACTTATCAAATATAATTTAAACTTATGACTAGCATTTGACTAACATAATAACTATAGATATTTTTCGGATAGTTTCGATTAGAGATCTTGGAATTAAATACCCCACTTTCCGAGCAATAAAATCCTAAAAGTAAAGCATAAAAAAATTACCCTGCATATAAATAACACGTTGAGTAAATACATTTAGTTATTATATAGACTAAGATGGTAAGCCTCATTTTTAAATATACTCTCAAAAAGATCTATACTTATAATGAAAAAATTGTACTTAATTATTAAAAATTGTTATTAATTATTTAGAATTAGAATGAGTCATAAAACATGAAGGGCTAATCACATGACTAGTAATATACCCAAAATGGTGGTAAATATATTACTAATTAATTCTGAGACTTTCTGTAGACTCAAAGAAAGTACTTATTATATAAGATAAATTGGTTCAAACAGTAATGAAGAAACAACATTAAAAATTTTAATTAATTTTTTTTTTATTTGATTTGATCATACAACGCTGTGTGGTCAAATTTCAATAAATTAATTAAAATTTTTATTGTTGTTGCTTCATTATTTGACAAAAATAAAAAAAATAACATTTTACTTAATAAATTCCAATAAGTCAAAGGCTTCATTTATCAGTACTTTCTTCCACTTTAGTTATTTTATTTTACTATATCGAAGAAAATACTCAATAGATTACTTTTGATGAGAATGTTAGACTTAAAGACTCTATCTGGTTACTTTACAGGTCATGTAAGCTACGGTATCACTTAAATAAGTTGCGGTTCCGACATTGATGTCTGTCATTTTTATGAAATAGACATCAAAAATCTCAGTCAGTCTGTATTAACTATCAACTCTTGATAGACAAGAGTTCCTCTCCACTAAGTTAATAGATCTAGTCTAGTCCCTAACTGTGATTATATTTAGAAAAAACCTAAAAAAAAGATCAAAGATCAAGTCTACTCACAATCAATCGATCTATTCGGGTGGAAGTGTTTTTTACCCAATACGTAGAAGAATAAAAGCAATAATGGTTATAATGTGATGACTACTGTTATATATCATTAAAGTGCATACAAAAAAAATATCTTGTGTTATAGTATTAAAATATTTCGTGCACTTTTCAAATTAAGCAGGGTAATATGCAATTAGCGAAACTTTTTAACAATTATAGTCATTTATTTACAGTCAAAATATATTTGTAGTGTTTATATAAGAAATAAGAAGAGCTTCACTAGAAAGCAATGGAAACTTCAATCAGGCTTAGCTAGCGTTCTCAGTCGTATATAAATAGTTTAAGTAGATATTGTATGTTCTTTGTGCATATCATTATTTGTTTATTGACTATGTACTGTTAAATACACTACAGCCTTAAATGTAAAAACACGTAAATACTTGTATATTCTATTCACCCACTCGTATCCTGTAATTCCTCATGATCATCACGCACAGTGTACCATATTCACTCAACACTAAACGCTCACTAGTCCAACTAATAAAACGTTTTTGGTGTATTTTGTTTTATATTGTAAATAAAAAAAATAAAAATTAATTTTTCACAATCCGGTAAGTATTTTAGGACAAATTGGCATAAATCTATTTATTTAAATTTTTTGTATAAATTTTTTCTCTTCTAAATAAACTTTTGCACGTGCTTGGTAGCTGGCATGACCCTGCTTCAAAGTAGTTCGATTGTAGACATCTGCAATGGTTGCTGTTGGAATCTGTTCTGATGCACTTTTGTTTTACATTAACATTGATTTATTTATGTTAAAAATATTTTGATTTTAGAAAAAAATTTTATTTTGAATAATAAATATAGGACAAATATATAAAAAAAAAGTCAATTTGTTTAGTAAAAATAGACAAAATTATTTAAAAAAAAAAAAAAAACGATAAACGTATTTAGAAGCAGAACAAAAGACAAAACTTCTTATTGTTATCGATATTTTTAAGTAGTAACCAAATGTTTTAAGTGTTACGCATTTAACCCTGCATTTATCCCTTAAGACGTTCTAAACGTTGAAGTAAATTGATATTTAATATTTGAATATTGTGTATTAATTTCTGGAAATTTTTAGTAGTTATATTTATTTTGGATTTAAACTCAAAACTAATATAAACTTTTTCATATAAACTGTACAAACAGATGTTGGAGCTGCAGGATGCATCGAGACATCCATCGCAGGAGTCCTTAACCGGTGCTGATGCTGGCCATTTACATCCTGGACACGCGTATCAGAATGGACATCGACGTTCGCCCAGTTTAAGGTAAGTAACACTCAAAAGCAAAATAAAAATAAATATAAAATATAATTCTATTTAAAAAAAAAACTAATAAAATTATATATTTTTATAATTTTTACATATTTCTTATTTGCACTCAATCAAACAATCAACCAATACATAATCATTGTTAAAATCGTTACAATTAAATATATAAATATCACGAAACTAACAGACATAACGGATCTCCATTGGCCAGATCTCCAAGTCCTAGACGGCGAGGCCATCAATACATACATCATGATATTGGGTTCTCCGATACCGTATCTAATGTTGTAGAGATGGTCAAGGAGACCCGTCATCCTAGGCATGGTTATGGGCATCCGCGTTATCCAAGAGGTATTTATTAAAAATTTAAACAAAATTTCTTTTCAAAACTTAACATACTTTTTAATTATTTTTAAAAAAATAAATTTTTTTAACTATTTATTATTTCTAACAATATACGATAAAACATTTGTGCTAATAGTTTAATTTTTTTTTTAAATTAAATTTACTTCAAACTTCATAAATAAGATACGAGCGCGTTTTAACTTAACGCTTTTTTGTAAAAAAAAAACAAAAGAAATTTTTTTATAAAATTAAATGTTTTACTTTGATTTTACATAATTGTTTTGCAAGGCATGTTTATAATGACTAATCTACATATAAAAATAACTATTATACACATCCTTGGTGTACGCAAAAATGATAACAATACACGTACAAAAACAATTCAACGAATACTTTTATGCAAAGAACACTAAGAAAACGAAAATTGTCTCCAAAAATCTGAAACTTCAAATTATCAGATGCGTAAAAGTATTTCAGAAACTTCACATCTACATCAACTCACACAGCACTCAAATATTATAAATGTTCTCAGATTGAGATACATTTATGCTATATACAATACCAAAAAAAAAAATAGAGATACTGAAGCTGTCCTCTTCAAACAACAGTTGAAGTTAACTACACCAATCACATGTCATTTCATACTCATTTTGCTGTGTACATAACATTTCACAACCCTGCTCTTAACGCAATTATAGCAATTAGATAGTTGAAATTCGTTTTCTGACTGATTTATAAATGTACATAATATTTAAATATTACCGAAGTAAAAGATAATGTGTATATTAGTAGTAAAAAATTATTTATATACTCTCGCGACGGACCAGTATGCTCTTCAATTAATAAATCAAAGTTCTTAATAGGAACTACAACAAATAAATAATGCATCTTTTTCATAAGAAAATCAAGATTTTTAAATTTATAATTAAAAGAATTATCGGAATTAATTTCTATTGGAAATTACAGATCTATCTTAAAGCCATTTGTCAAATTCGATGTTCCTTTCCTATTTTAACTGCATTATCTACATTCATCTTCTTTTTCTTCTCTGCTTGCTCAAACGCGAGTTTCTTGATCTCTGCTGAAGCATTTGAATGATCCACTACAATAAGACTTCTAATAATTATTCTAATAATAAGTTATTTAGATGATTTTATAGAAGCATACTTTGAAGTTCAGTAAATCTTTCTGACGAAATATATATTCCATTTAATTTGGGAAAATGCAATTCTAAATTAATGTGCAAAACGTATCAAAAATATAATAATCAATTCCTAACTATTGTTTATGTACACTACCTTATGTTATGCTAAGTAAAGACATCAATTCCACAAATTAGAAAACATTTTGATCAAGTATTACAACATTAGGACCATTAGGAATGGTTCTTTAATACGAGTACCTCGAGTTTTCCGCGAAAGCATTTTTGTGGTGTTTGAAGTGTCAAATGTCAGAGAAAGCTGGCTATATTCTTATGAAAGATGAAGTGTTAAGATGGGTCGAAGGTTTAGTTTTACTATTAAAAAATAGTTTTTTCCTGGAATATTCTTGAAATATTCTGCATTTTACAGTTTCCTATCAAAAGAATAGAATAAGTAACGAAATTTAAATAATCGAATTGTTAATATATGTTCCCTTTCTATACTATAATTTTTTTTATATATTCAATATATTCTTTAAAAACAATATATTCTTTAAATTGTAATATATATAATGTCTAACATAAATCCTATTGATTCATACACGAATCTGTTAAAATTGTAGCATTATTGGATTAATTAAATATTCCATGAAATTATAATATATTTAAGTAAGAAATGTTGGAGACAAGGTCTTTGCATTACTATTAATTTTACGATCAATATAAATATAATTATTAATATGGATATAGCAGAAAACATCTATGTGTACAGATATATATATGTATATCAGTGTCTAAGGAATTTAAAAACGGATTGCTCATTGTTGTATTCTGTAAGAAAATTAATTATAGTTTTAAAATTAAAATTTAATTTAAAAGTCATTTTAAAACTAAAATTTAATTTAAAAATTATTTTACAATTTTGAATATAATGAAAAAATACTGTCATCAGCATAAAAATGAACAATTAATATGCTAGGTTTTCAATTTCACTATTAATAATATGATGTGTGTTCATTAAGTACTTCTATATTTTGTTATCATTCAATAAGTCTATGGTCTAGCTGAGAAAAATGATTTTTTTTCTTCTTATAATTCGATTTTGTTTAACAACATACTCTCCTTTAAGGATTATATATATATTACAATGCTCTTCCAATTTTTCGATTCTCTTTTAGCAGAACGATTTATTTCTGCTCTCAAAATAGACAACAAAATGGATAGATAGTTTCGCCCAATCAATGTTTCATTATTGCTAAATTGTTTTTTTGGTACATTTTTTTAATTTCTACAAAAAAAAGCAATAATCGCTAAGGGTTAGATCTAGAAAGCACGATGGACGCGAAAGCAATATAAACCGTAATTCATTCAATTTAATCATTTTTTTTTGGCAACGAACTTAAAGGATACGAATAGATACAAATAACTCTAACCATTTGCATGCCCGCCCATTGAGTTATATATACCTACGGACTAAAAAGTTCACATATTCTCATCTTAAAATTCTGAAGATTCCTATAGTACCACCAGTTAAGGTACTTTTACCTTTTAGCGTGCTTTTACTCCGAGTATTTCGTCCGCTTTAACAATGTTTATTGTTGTAGAGATTATGCACTTCACTCTTCAGTGCTTGCAAACATCTGCTTTACCATGGAGGAAGGGCTGGCTTTCCCGATCAGTGTCTTATGTGTAGTATCTACTGGACAAAACTAACAGTACAGAATACTTGTCAGCTTGAATCTTTATAAGTATTTACGGAAGCATATATTCCCGATGAAACTACGTTCAGTAAAACTCCAAGTCTCCTGCTCCGCGATTAATCCAAACATTTATATAGAATTAGAATTAGGGTTCAATCTGATTTTTGAGAATGATCCCTCTAATGTTGCCATTCATTAAATCATTTGGCACTTATTTCTAGATATTATTATTTCTATTATTTCTAGACTTATTTCTATTAATCGAGACTATAATGTAATCAATGTTGTCATCAACGTGTTTCTTCTTAAATTTGATTCGGTTTGAGTAAGCACGACAGCCAGATTGAAAAGATTTATTTTAAGAAATTAAATTCACATTACTTTCTAATATCTTTAAAGTATTAGCTCTCATACGCAAATTCACTTTACGATCTTTCAAAGGTTTTATTATGTTTTCCGGAAAAAATGCCGATTTTGGATGATTAGCTTTATAAATGTTTATACGTTTCAATTTAGCATATCAGTCAAGTCATTATTTGGTTTTAACAGTATTTTTGTTAATAAGAAACAGTCCTTAAGTAAATACAGGAAATTCTATTTCATCCATTGTTTCGAAAATGGCAATACTGGGGTCACCGAAACCTGGAAAGTCACCACTAGAACCTGTTACCAAATTATCAAGATATTATAAACTTTTGAAATGTATCATTTGAAGGATGCTACTCTCCACAAATTACTTGGTTTTGCCAATAGTGTTGTCATGTATATATCAGATCGGTGTTTTATTGATAAGTCAATAGTATTGACATATATATATCAGATCGGTGTTTTATGGAATCATATTGATTAACGAGTGACTTATTAAGTCATTTTCATATACGAGTATATATTCTGAGAATATATTCTAGAAAATTTAAAAACAGTTACTCTAATAGAATCATGTTTTTCAACCATCAAAAGGAAAAAGTTAATATATACAAGAAATGATAAATGTTATGAAGTGATATTAGTTTTAAATACATTTTTTAAATAAATGGAAATGTTTTCTAAAGTAAATAAAATAAAATAAAATAAAGAATAAATGCATAATGCACGTGAAAATATTTGTAAATTAAAAAACGATTAAAGTTTTGTTTTTTAAATAATATTTATTACTAATAAATCAATAAATTTAATTACTTAGCCGGTTTAATAATGTTTAATATATAGCAATTTATATAAGTTAAGCAAGAATTGTTTGGTTTTTGCATGTACTTTCAGCTTTATATATCGCAAATAATTCGAAAAATGAACGAATGCAAAAATATATTAGCTTTTTAAATATATTACGGCAAATTTTATGAAAATGCTTATAGAACTAATAACCACTCAATTCAAAAACAAAAAAAAAATGTTTTTTTATAAAATAATATAAATTAAGAATTTTACACAAATACACACACTCAATATATAACAAATTTATATTTAATTTATTTAATTATTTTCACACAACTTAGTAAACAAATTTATTTTCTTTTGTTTTTTTGCTTTTTATTTAAATAAAAAATAATTTTCCTTTAAATTTTAAATAAAATTTAAATAGTTTTCTAAATAAAATTAGTTTAAAGAATTTTATAATATTGCACTTATCTAATGATAATACATGTTTTATTAAATAGTCTATTTAATTAAACTAGGTTAAAATTATAATTAAATTAAAATATATAACACATTCTATATACTTTGTAATAAATTTCATTTAATATTTTCATTTCTTTTTTTTGCGTTCTTTTTAATTTCTTGTAAACGATACACAAAAACCTGCAAAACAAAACAAAAATTGTATGTACATATGTGTGTATAAATTTGTATATGAAATTATATTCCCTACCCATTATATATTGTATAGGTTCATGGTCAGCATCGACAAGTCCGGCCCGTTCGCCTTCGCCTTCTCGTTATGGTCGCAGTAGGCGCACTCAACTGCCTTTTCCCACTTATGGGACGACAAGTCTATGTCAAAGATCACGATCGCCAAGTCCCGCTCGACTTCAGGAGATGCGTGAACGAGATAGACTTGGTTATGGGATTGATATGGGTACTCCTTATAAAAATGTTATATATCATTTTATGAAAATTGTTAAATAAATTAAATTTTATAAAGATTTAAAAAAAACAAAAAACAAAAAACAAAATCTTCGCATCAGTTTAATAGTTCAAATAATTAGAATTCATTTTCAAAATGTTCTTTCATATTCATCGCATCTTTTCATATGTTGAGTTCGTCTTCAGTCGTTACAAACTTCATCTCAAAACACTGACTAACCTACATACTCTACACATAAAGTTGCTACTCGTACTAACCAATATTTTTTACACTGTAACACTCACTTTTTGTCAATGTTGTCAAATTAAGTGTCAATGTCAATTGTCGGTTCACTTCATTTTTCCGCATTTTCTTCATGTAAATTTTTGATGTTTTTAATAATTGTAAAATAATAATAATAATCTTAAATGTGTCGTTTGTGTATATAAAATATGTTTTTTTATTTTTTCTATATATAATATATGGTATATAATGTTTGAGAAACACTTATGTCGTTACCATGAGTGTTTCCATATCATATAACATAATTCTATTAATTAAATTAATGTTAAATTGAGAAAATATTTATTTTTGTTAAGTTTTTATTTATTTAATTTTTTTATTTGTTAATGATGGTATCCTTAAAAAGTATCTTTGAAGTATCTTTAAGATATAAACTTTAAGGACTGTTTACCATAAATCCTATTACTATGCTACTATTATTATTTTGGTTAAGCTATATAATGTATGTATGTGTTGTAACAAGTTTGTATATTAATATTTATTTAATTCTTTTATTTTTTATTGGTGATATAGTTCAAAAGTATATTTAAAGTATATTTAAGATATAAAAACTTAGAAGAACTGCTTCCCATAATTAACTTGGTTTAACTATATACATATGTTATGTATTACATACGCATTTAAAAAACTTTTTGTATTATTGTATATTGTATAAGATTATATTACATAGAGACTTAGACTTTTTTATTTAATATATAAGTATTTTGTATAAAAATATATTATCTTCTGTTTTGACATTGATAAGATATTAATCAATACACATAGAATAATAATCTTAGTTCATGGAGGTCTTATTTCATCATGTTTTACCACGTATGGCTGAATCGTATAACCAGTCAATTAACAGTGTCAAACAGTATATTTTTGAGTTCTTACAGTTCACACTTTATAAAATAATTTTTTTTATTAACAAAGCAATTATGAGTAAAATAACCGTAAACCTCATAGTGTAGTACTCTGCAATTTTTATACAAAACATATAGTCTTTCTATATACTTGTAAATACTAAGTAGGCTATATTATATATATGATATAGTGTGATAGTGATGTACTATATAAAGATTACATAGATTATAATGGTGGCACTTTCTCACCCTTACTAAGAAAGACTTTTTTTTTTTTTGATTTCCAAATGTATTTACCAATATTTTAATCGCTGTGCTGGATATTGCTCTTAAGTCTAGCGTCCTTAACTTATAGAAATAAATCTTTGACTTTAACTAGTCTCAGAACGAAAAATCTCTGCAAACTAGCGGAAGCTATTGAAAATCATCATTTTTTAATATCAAGTGACCTGAGAACAATGGCTCTAAAAAATCGAATGCAGCACGACCTGTATGAGGTGGTGCAGTATTTTGTTGCCAGCTGGGTCCACCGAATATGGGTAATCCTTTAGGCTAATCCACTTAATCCAGGGTCCGCATAATATGCCAAATACTGAAGTTTACACAAATTTCTTTAGACCAAATAAGAATCGTGCCAAATGAAAATGAATACTTTATTTACTTATTGTCAAAATTTGATCAAATTCGCCTCTTATTTCGTTATAAAATGACATTTCATATAATCGCATTTTATTGTCAAATTGTTTATGCTTTGCACAAAAGTGTTCCGGTAATTAGTTCGATACCGCTCTTAAAACCTTGATTACGATGACTGAGCACCACAGCCTAGAAACACACGCAGTGAACAAAAAATCTAGATTGAATTCCGAAAAGCACAGTCCATTAAATTTTGATCGATGATTTGGGTAAATACACGATCTACCTATCTGCGTTTTGTACCTCACATTCTGATGAACGACGAAAAAGACGGGAGAATTTAGTATTGCCATGATATGTTGAGGAATTCCCTCAACATATAACCTATAAAGAAAGTCATTGTGTCCAGAGCTCGTTGTGGTAGTCACTAGAAGACTCAAATTAAAGAAAAGTATATATTTCAAGCAGTTAGTGTTACTGTATAATAATGAATTCTTGATAAAAAATTTACTTGATTTGGCTCTGCACAGTTTCTATCTTTGTCACAAATTTAGATTTAGATAAAACGAAAGTACTTTTGTTTCGATACCATTCTGGTTATCCAAACCATTTCGACCGAAAAACAAAGCAACTCGGAAGGATATATGTAATAAATATTTCTAAAATTCGTTGATCGTTTTAAGCGCTATGTTAAATCAGAAGGAGATTATTATGAAAAAATAACACTAGTCTTATTGGACCTAGGTCTGGAACTGAATATGTATAAACACTGCTTGGAGGCAATCACAAGCATAATGATATTTTAACATGTATTGACAGATTAGTTACAACAGATTTATTTTCAACTATTTGGATGCTGTTATTTAATAAAAAAATGCATTGTATAAAAAGGGTCTTGTAGTTTATATAAATATTTCCTATCCATAATTTTTTTAAGTATATTCAGTATACTTATATATGAAGTATATTCAGTATATATATATTATTAAATATTAATAATTTTAATAATAATTAATTATAAATAATATTATTATTAAATAATAATTAATAATATATTTGATTCAATCAATATAAATAATAAATATATATTTTACATATAATGTCTATATTTATAAACTAAATAGTTTTTAGTGTAAGTCTATATATTAATATTAGATTACTTTTTTTGAAGTATTTATAAGTTTTCCATTACCGAATTATGTTATTAGCTGCTTTTTAGCTTGAAAAATGCTATTATTTTAGTTGTGTTATGTTGCCATATTTTTTGGTTAATATATAATTTTTTATTTTATATTTTATTTTTATTATTATTAATATTGTTTTAAAAATTGAATATAGATAGATGTGTATGTTGTGCCAATACATCCCACTCGTCATTAAGTAACAAACTGTCGCGATCATTACAATTTTGTGCATGTTTATGCGTTTCTTCACAGATTTCGCCTATATCATCATTAAATCGATATATATTTACCTGTGTTACGATCATAATAGGAATAATTAATTCAGCTTACTTATTGTGTTTAATCATTCGTCTGACATACAGCTCATTTGTTACGTTCAAATAGCTTATAACAGTTCATTTAAATTATTGTATTTTGTAATAATTAGAAATAATTAATTCTATTTGTTTTATAAACTATTAGGTGGCACGCATGTGCAGCATAGCTATCCAACGTTAGCATCTCGTCGTTCTGGAGTGGGTCGACGTCTACCACCGACACCAAGTAAACCATCGACACTGCAGCTAAAGCCAACTAATATTAATTTCCCTAAACTAAACGCTAGTCCAACGCATGTAAGTATTTTAAAAGTATTATTTAATTTTATAATTAATATATGTATATCGCATCAAAGATACAGATATAAATAAACAATAAATAGTAAATAGATTTTTGAAATTAATTTTTATAGAAATATAGACACGATTTATTTACTAGTATTGCCGGTTCAAAAATCATACACTGACAAACCAGTAAATAGTTCCCGACACCACTTATGGTGGATATTTGGGTATCCGTACTACCTGTTTGGTCAGCCTAAGAATTAATTAAATAATACTTGAATATTACCCTTTTTTATTTGTGGATAAGATTTATCTCATAAAACATACAATTTTTAATTATAAGAGTATTTGGCGGATGATACAAACTCATCAAATTTTTTTATCTTTATGTTTGTATTTTCGCGGGATATTTTGATCGACTTCATTTCAACTAGATTTATTGCGATCGAAATTTATTTGATTTGGATAAATAAGGGTATCATTCATTCCAATGGTAATATGTTCGCAGTAAATAACAACACAAATGCACATGAACGAAAAGGCCACACTAGCTAGATTTTATTTACATCCTTACTCAGTTAGCCATAACAAACGCGAGTCATTCTTGGCCGCGTCGAGTTGCCTCTGCCAGTCAGCTCTACCAGTGGTTTGCTGTTGTCAGTTGGTAGTATCGAGTGCCCCTAAGTCGTAAGACACCTAGTCCTTCCGCCGAAGCTGCGGACCGCCTTTTCCACTTGCGGGTACCGAATCAAATTTCTTTCTAACCGAAGCACTTTCTTCCATTAATGCGCTTAAATATGTCAATGTCGAGGTATAGCGTATACTTATCGTTCCATCTAATTCGATACTCGTTGCCAATGTGTAAAGGACTATAGTTCTTCCGAACAATTTTTCTCTCGAAAAATGCCTTCTCACCACTGTTGATATTCAAGCTTCTGCACCTTACAGCAGGACAGGCAAGATGAGGGACTTATAGAATGTGATTTTTGTTTGTCAAGAAAGGGCTTTGTTTCTCAATTGCCTGAAAATTGAGAAATGCTAGCATCTGCTGGCAAGTGTGATTCCTCGTTGAATATCTTGGCTGACCACCAAAAACAAACAAAAAATTAAACGAATATGTGCTGTTTAAGATAGTTAGAAATGGATCCAACTTATTTTTCTTAGTCTGTTTTCATACCCGTATTAGATAAAAATAATTGGTTTTTTCATATAGCATTTAGTTTTTTTTTCCTGAATATTTCATCGATGAAATTACAATAACTATTGTAATTACTCTATAGTTTTTAGGTTACATTTTTTTTCAATATATCTTATGCTTTTATATTACACACATTAAGGATACATTTAAGGATTGCACCTTTGTGTTAATTCGGCCTTCAAATGACATATTATAATATGTAGTTATATTCAATTTGCATTAATAATCTATTTCTTTTTTACTATAGCAGACACATCACTCGACACCTCATAGTGTTCACTCGCTGCCACACCACCGTGATCTATTGCGGGATCCTAGGGATATGTATTATAGTAGCAGAGAACGTGACCGTGATAGGGAACGGTATAGAGACCGAATGCGTGATTATGATCTACGATACGAATATCGAGATCGTGAGCGTGAGATGTATGAAAGAGAACGTGATCGTGAAAGAGAGTTAGAAAGAGAAAGGTATGAGTTATCTATTAATATAGTCATTAAAATAAAAATTTTACAATTATCTAATTATACAAATTTAATATAGACTGGAATATATAGCACCATTGTCCTTTGAACAAGCGCTTGCAATGGGCAGAACGGGGCGTGTACTGCCTTCACCCGTTCTAAATGGCTATAAGCCAAAAGGTGGATTACACGCACGCCACTCCGATTCAGATGAGGAAGATTGGTGCTAGCAAAGGCTTTGATTGCGATCGCGTGATCGAAGGGAACAGATCTGGGTATAGCATCAGGCCATTTTTTCATCACGATCCGCACCAGACTTAGATCACAATTTTGATACAATACCACTGCAACAACTAACAGCAACATCCGATACCGAATTGCAAAGATACATAAAAGCATATCCGTTAAAATCAACAAACATAGATAACATTGCCGAAACTACTACAACTACAACTATAGCAACTACAAAAATTTATTCCGATCATGAGATAAACTATAGAGATTTTACAAATTTACAACCAACCGAACAAATTCAACTACCAGAACCATTAGATATGGCACAACCAACTGATACATTGGTATCACCAAAGGAACAACATCTTTATCATACACTTTAAATACTAGACTTACATACATATATATATATAATAAGAATATCGTATATAGGACTATTAACTGTTGAAAAGAATGAAATTTAATACTTGTTAATGTAAAGAGAAATGTGTTCAAAAATTTTAGAAATGACGGTAAATCAAATAATGCATAAACCAATGAGGAATTGAAGAACTGAAATATTGAAATGAACGACAAAAATAACTATTTCACACAATTTCATGTTAATTAATATTTTTTGTTTTGTAATAATTTAAACTAAATGTAAATTTCGTTATTTAATATTTTGTATAAAAATATTTCTTTTGACGTACTTAAAATTTTTCGTATCATAACATTAACGCCTTCAGCCGCGTGTAGTATTCACTAGGAAGACGACTAATAGTAGCATATATTCCAATCTAACATTACTTGTGTATGTAGCTATTAGCTTACGAGAAGCCCTAGAAATTGTGTATTACTGATTACTGATTATCGTTACCTTTCAAAGATATCATTTGTGTTTCGTAGTGTTAACTAGTTACTCTTTGAGAATTTAATCATCATTTTCTTGACTGTAGTTCTTTGGTTTTATATTGAATACAGCAACTTTAGAAGTTAAAAATACAAAGAAAAAAAAAAAAACAAATAATACTGCCGTCATAAAGTTATAAACTAATATTCATAAATACTGATTTCAGTTAGGAAATCATAAATATTCACACAATCTATGCAAATTTGCTAATTTTGCTAATTTTGTAACAGTGCCACAGTCAAGACCAACAGTCAGATTATGACAGCGAATACAGTAATTAAAACAAATTATTAGTAATAAAATAAAAGACAAGTATATAGTGGAACCTTTTAAACGCTTACTAAATTAATCGAAATTAACTGATTAAAAAAACATTAACATTAATTAAAATAAATTAAATACAAATTTACTAAAGGAAACTAGTCAGCAACAGTTTGAAATTTATACAACATACATAAATTAAATAACCATGATATATGAGATATGGAGGTACAGGAGGCATTTTAAAAATGTTAGAAGTGCTAGAAAAATGTTATTTTTATTATAGCAAAATTTTATAACGATCGCAAAATACGTAAACTTAATGGGACATATTTTATATATAAAACTATACTACAGATTTTAGGCATAAAAAGCATAAGAAGCATATAAGACATACCAGCAAATATACATACATTAATATAGTTATATATGAACATTAGCTCATAGATACACATAATACCTACATAAATACAAGACATGCCACCAGTGCATATAAGAAAAACTTTTAACTACAACTTACAAGCATTTTATCACTCAAATATTAATAGTCATACTACACCTTTCTCTTATGTCCCCTCTCTAAACTATTAACCGTTGTAATGAATTTATTTGATAGAATTACAAGCTCGGCAGTTAAAAATTGTTCAATAAAAAAAAATTAATTTTATAAATGCAAAATGCAAAATGCAAAATGCAAAAATACTTGTAAATAAAATAAACAATTAAAGAATTAATTAAATAGAATTAAAAATTATAATAGAAATTGTAAATAGCATAAAAAGCATTAAAATGACATAAGTGAGAAGATAGTAATCACTTCAACGCACAAATATTTTACGAAAATCCCGTACTTATAACGTAAGTTAAAATATATATGTAAAATATACAATGTTCATGTATACATAAACATAATATTAACATACACATATATTAGTGTATATGTAATGCCCAGTAACTGTTAACGTAACCTCAACATAACATAACGTAACGTAACGTAACGAACCGTTACGTGACGTAACTCGAAATTGTATAACAGAGAGTACAGCTAAGCGCAAAATTTACTCCAACGATTGTGTTCGTACTGAATTTTTATCTATTAGCAGTGCTTGAATTGGCCTATGATAAGAAGTTAAAAGCAATAAATAATTGTTAGGATATTGTTTAAAACCGCAATTCAATATAGTTCAATATAGACTTCCCACATTATTTATTTATTTAAATTATCACAAATTGTTAATAGCATAGGTTATAGCATAGCATTTTATTGAAAGATATATAATTTTGGGTTCTGTTGCATCATCTTTAATTAAACTCACCTAATGTAACACATATATAAATCAGTTTTAATACAATATATTAGGAACTTACTGGAGTGTTATATGTTAGTGCCGAATTTATATGTATATTTAGCGTCGCAAATTGTCGCTTAAGTAAAGCAAAATTCTAAATCTTCATATGATTAAAAAAAATCTATTAATCTAATAAGAATTCAAGCGTGAAAACTTATATATAAATATGTGGTGGCTTCGGGCTAAAGTTACCAAGCCCCAAATGGTAACATTAGCTCACACAAATACATATACAATATACAAGCAGTTTAAGATTAAATAAATTTTTGGCAAAAATCTGAAAAATACCTAAATTTAGTAATACAATTTATTATTTTATAATAATATATTGAAATAATTTAAGTTCAACACAGAAAGGAGGTCATAAATCACTTATAAGTTATATGAAGTTCTTTCTGTCTCTGCAGTACAGACTCTGTACCTATCCAATATATTTAAGCATATTAGTTTGAATATAGTAATTCATCTTTAAAAATTCTTTTTTTAAAAGTATTTTATCTTCTATTGTATTATTTAAATACTCAAATTTAAAAAAATATCCCACTATATTTATATAATGCAAATTAATAGAAATTTATATAAATAATAAAAAATAATATGAATTAATAAAATGGCAATAAAGCAAAGTACTTTTTAATTTTTATTTAAATTTTTATTATTATTATAAAAACAATGAATTAGTTTAAGTAAATTTTATTATTGTGTATTAATTTGCTTAATTTTTATTTTATATAATTTTTTTTTATAATATATTTAATTTTATTTATTTTTTTACTATTTTTTATTAATTTATTTTTTTTTTTTTATTGTGCTTTTTTTTATAATTATATATTATATACTTTTGCTATATTTTTTTTATTAGTGTAATAGGCTCATATAGATATAGAAGTGCTTAAGTAATAAAAATAAGATTTTAAAAATTGTTTAAATTTGATTTTTAAACTTAATTATAACGAAATAAACTATTTTTTTAATATAGATTTTCTATTCAAAAAACATTTAATTTTTTTTATAGAATTTTTTTTTATTCATTTTTAATAAAACTTAAGCATTTACATGTATTAAATTATTATTAATTAAATTTATTTTTTATTATATATATTGAATTTTTTAATATTTATTTAATTTTTATATAATTTCTTGTGTAAAACTTAAACTGCCATAATTATTTTCCACTATATAATATAATTAAAAATATTATAATTTATTATTATTATTATAAAATAATTGTTTATTTAAATTTTTTATAAAAATTTTGTTTTTTTTTAAGTAGATAATTATTATTTTTTTATTTATTTATTTTATCTATATAAGCGATATAGTAATTCACGGAAAAATGCATTTAGGTATTTTTTAAAAAAATACAAAATGCAATTTTTTTGGTATATTATGACTTAACTAATGATGCATTTAAGATTAAAAATGCACTTAAGCGAGAACTATTTATCCGTGAATTATTATATATATATTTTTTTTTTATTATTATTATTATACAAATTATTTAATTTGATATAATTTATTTGATGTATATTTTAGTTATTTATTTTTAAATTGGTATTGCAATCAACTAATTTCAAAAGGTTTTTCATACAATCGTTGGGTTTTCCATATATCAATATAACAAGTCTCTTTAAATCTTGGAGGTAGAATTATATTTTTGATTTTCGGAAAAGTAAGGTATCAGATATATTTTATGCTTCTGCAGTAATAACTAATTATTTTACTTCTTGGTTTTTGAAACAATTGAACTACAAATTAGTTTTGGGATTTCTTCATTTTGCAAAATTGAAATAAATTAACGAATAATAAATACATGTAATACCCTTTTGATGTCTTATTTACCAGATATTATTAAGATGTTGTTCTTGTGTCGAAACATTTATAAATCATGTAGATTCTTAGGCTTCATCAATACATAAAAATAATTTTATATAGGAAATATTTTCAAAAAAATTATAAAACTCTTAACACACTTATAGGAAATAATTAAACAAATACAGTACAGCAAATATGTAATTTAAATAGACATAATGAAGTTCTGCATCATAATAGTCGTAAAATACATGAAATACATATAGCATTAAAACGGTTATTAACTAAACATAAAACATAGATTTTTATACTTCTAATAAAGAAAAGTTCATGCTAAAAAGTTTTCATACAATATTCAATCCACACATTTTATAAAAATGCATGAAATAAAATAAAAATATTTAAAAATAAAAATAAAAACAAAAACAAAAACAAAAACAAAATTTAACTGTAAAGTTTGATCTGTTCCTTGGATTATTTACGGATGATGTTAGTAAAGATAGCATATGTACATATATATGGTTTTATGCATATATATGTTTGTATAAATAAATTATATATAATATATATATATATATAAATATAATAAATAATAAACGGTCAAATAGCGTAATTAATAAAATAATTTTCTTACATTAGATATCGTACTTTAAATAAAACAAATTTAAATAAAAATTGTAAATTTTTAAATTGAAATTTTTATTCACTGATAATAAATGCCTGGTTAAAAATAAAAATCAGTATATATCTATATATATATAGATATATATATATTTATGTATATATAGATGCATATATATAAATTATAAATTGTGTAATAATAATAATGAAACAAACAAACCAAAACTAGCCGTATATAAAAAATTTTATATTAAACAATATGATATATTGTATTTAAAAAGAAATGAAAATAGTAACCAAATAAGTTTAATATTAGTTAAAAGTATTTTAGCAAAAATTTAGGCATATATAATATTAAAAATAAAAAAGAAATATATATATATATATATAGTTATATATAAATATAATATTTGATAATATGAGTATAAAAATATTGTAATTTATTTATAAATATGTATAACAATATAACACCTGCCTTCAAAATTTTATTATACCTTAAAATAAAAAATAAGAAAAAATATTCATTACTTCTTATTATTAGAAATAAAAATAATTTAAAAGTATGAAAAGAAAAACCAAAAAAAAAAACAATTGAGTTATAATATATAAATGAAACCATTCGAATAACATTTGAGAGTAAATAATAAAA